ATGAGTCCGTAATATCGTTTCTTCTTTAACCTTTTCTCTCCTAATATATAATTTATACATATCTTTACAACATTATTTTCTTTTCGGTTTAAAGTTTACTCATTAAAAGATCACATATGCATTCTGTTTGCATCCAGTCTTCTGAAGAAATTTTCATCGTTAAACTTTATCGTTAAACGTTACCGTTCTAACGTGGCAATAACATCACGCCCTAAAGTTTCTCTCTCTCTCTCTCTCTCTCTATCTCTCTCTCTGTTCAAGATTTTAATAATAATTTTTTAAGTATATATACAGAATACCTCAAAAGCTGATCAATTTCTCTTAATAACGAACTTTAGCGACTTTTCTTTTTTTAACCTCCGACTGTTGCAAACCGACGTAGCTTCCTCTCTGAAATCGGTGATTCGGAGACCGAGCAGTGTTTGCGATATTCTGTATAAACGTCACACATACAGACATACACATACACACGCCCAATACGAAAATGCATGTGTATGTGCATGCGCGTATTACATTAGTGAGATCAGTAAATAATTCCATTAACATATTTATACAAAGTCATGTTCTGTTTAGTTTACATATCTATGTCTACATGTACTTTCCCTATGCAAATTAATATTTGGTTTTTTGTGTGCTACGCGATCTCTCCGTTTTTTTTTTCACGTCACATCCCAGAAATATTCACTCCTCCTTCCTCTTCCTTTTTATTTGAGGTAATTTGATTTTGCTCAAATAAACAGAGAAAAATTTGTTTATTGACTTTCGCTTTTTGTTCGCAACTGATCGCCATCCACGGTATTGGCTCCCGGCTCTTCGTCGAGGCAATCCATAAGGTACAGCCTGCGGAAATAAATACATTTCATATTATATTTTATATAATCGTATTTATATTACATTTATTACTATAGATTATTTAATTATATAAACAAGATACTGACGGACTCTCGTATTTAAAATTAAGGATAAAATGTTTGTGTATTTATAAGTATAATTAAAAATTGATTTTTTGCGCGCACTAATTACCGCGCTTGACTGTCATTAGCCTTTTTTGTTTCCTTAATTTTAAATAAAATATAATTTAATAAATTGGCAAGCAATAGATAAACAATACGATACCTGTCCCTACAAGGGTGTTTCCTTTCGCGCTTCCGCCTTCCACTGGAATCCATTTACACGCGTTGTAATAGGCTTATTTCTATTTGTAGCATTCTCAATTCCATTCCTAACGCCCGCTACTAATCTCATGGCTGGGTTGGACACCAAGCCATTACGCTTTGGTTTTACATTGCTTGCACTGAAATTAAATATAGTGGCACTTTATACGAAATTTGTGCTTGTGAGTAACATATATGTATATATTATTTTGTTTCGTCGAAGAGCTGACGTGAAAAAGTTAAATGTAAGTTGAAAAGAAAAGCAATAATGTATCAAAATTTTAGAAAAAAAAAAGAATAAGAAAAATATCTCATTATCGTTAATGCATGTCTTTGCCTCTGATACATTTTAAGTAAATGACCAATATGTTAATAACCAATTGATACATAGCATGATAAATATGTCTAACATTGTCGTATGTCCTCCTTGACTACATATTCTATCTTTTTTCGCTCGGGAGGGTTGAAAAAGGAAGGAAAGCCTATCGCTCATGAAGCGGTGTGTCTTCCTTATACGACCATTGTGATTTCTGCAAAGTCTAAAGAATTGCATTGAAAAAAATTAAGATAATAAGTATGCTTTTTTAAATTAAAATTCGAATGAAAAGATGGAATTACGTATGATTTTTATGAATGATGTACACGTGTGAAACACAAGATAAATGAGACGTTTGACCGATACTCGCCGGGTTTTGTGAAAATGTGTGCCCGTAAATAATTTGCGATCTCTAAATGTAGTCTGATGTGTCTCGTGTCGATGAACAAAAAACATTTCACGATGAGAAAATGTTAGTTGTATGTGCTGTGATAAATATAATTAATGTGTTAGTATATGTGCTTATAACTTGTGTATACAATTTGTTACTATGTATATCAACTGCTTACCTGCTAGGTGTGTGATCCGAAATGTGCTTGACGCTTCTACCAACGCCGGCGCCGCTATTCCCCAATATTATTCTCATATGAGTGTCTCGCGTAAAATGCGTGTCGGCCGAATTCCGTTTCTCCTCGTGCCCGTTCTCCTTGTCCTTCCCGATGTGCAGGCCCAACATCTCGTTCGTCAATTCGAACGGCTTGCTAATGTTATTCCTGTCGATAATCTCAGTTTTGATGTTGATAGGCTCGTAGATGACGGGCGTATGCTTGTATCCTCCGATCTGCGTTTTGTACGACATATTTGGATTTGCTGCCAGCAACGACACGCCCAGCTGACTCTGTATCACGTTAACTGCCGTCTGAGCGCTAGGCGGACTCGTGTTTGTAGGTGAATATGGGATAAGGCTGTCGCTTAACGGTGAGTGCGGAGGTGAGGCGTATATCGGGCTCTGCGGCTCGCTTTTCAGAGGTGACAGTAACTTGCTGAGCGGCCGACTCTTCGCTCCTCTCGAGCACTGCTGTAGTTGTTGCGTGAAAGATAATGGTGTCTGAAATTATGAAAGTTAGGCAATTTAGATTTTTATTTTTGTAAGAATTTAAATAATCTACAAGTCATGAGAAAAGTCAAATAATTCTTTTTATAATTCTTAATCATTTTCGCTCGTTGTTGTAAATACAATAATTAATAAGATTGAACGCAATTACAATCAATTATATTGCTCGTCTTTGGCCGTTCAATTTTATTAATTATTGTAATTCTTTTCATGTTTTATATAAGAATTAAATAATTAATCATGCTACAACCGTGAAATAAATCGGACGATAAATTAATTTTATCGTCCAACAAATGTGAAATGTTGCTGTGTAGTTTAATTACCTGACAGTTAACCATCGAGTTCTGATTGAACTTTCCTTGATCGCTCTTAGTGCTGCCGGTTAAATTACTGCTCGATTTACTGTTGCTCGAATTGTTGCCTAGAGAAACGCAGCTGCGTCGTTTCGTCGAGTCTGGCGATTCCGCTGGACTGTATTGCGTCGACAGAGGATTCAGAATTGCCGACGAAGGTTTAGTCTCAGCCGTCGAATTGGATGTGACAGAAGTAGCACTACTGCTACCACCTGGAAATTACATAACGTCACATTACCGATTCAATTTTCGACTAACAATACCAAAAGAGAAATTTCGGTAAATTGGAATTGTAAATTTTTTTTTATATCACAGACAAAAAAAAGCAAAATTTTCTATTAAAACAATTTCAGAATCCACAATTCGAATTTTGTTATTTCTCGCAAAAGAGAAATGAAAGGAGCGATATCTCTGTATCATTTTTCTAAATGCGTACAAATTTGACTATGAATAAAACGGAAAGTGTCAATTAACCTCCATTAATGCCGGGCCTCAAACTGCGTTGATTCGCGGAATGCTCTTCTAACAGCCTGACAACTGTGTCGTGACCGCTTTTAGCGGCTACTTTAATGGCGTTACGTCCACAGTGATCGGAGTGACTGGGATCGGCGCCGTGATTCAAGAGCGCCCGAACACAGTGCTCGTGTCCTTCCTGAGCGGCTATACCTGCAAATTGGTATTCTCCTATCACATAACATGCCCCAGTTTTATAGGAATTACAACCAAATTATAAAAAAATGTTTTTATATAATTAACGTATCACATATCTTATTCATGTTACTATATAAAGAGAAATCATTTAGAATTATTTAAAGAGAAATTATTTATAATTAATGTACCTAGAGCCGTTGCACCTTGATTACAAGTATGATCAGGAGTTGCACTATGTTCCAAGAGTAACCTGACGATCGCTGCGTGTCCCTGCCAGGCGGCCGAATGAAGCGGCGTTCTGTTTTCATTGTCGCAAGCGTTCACGCTGGCTCCACCCTCGGTTAACAATAACGCTACCATCTCTACGTGTCCCTGCCAGGCGCTTACATGTAACGACGTTCTACCCTGTAGAAATACAAATGTAATAATTATCACACGCGAATCATCATTAGATAGTAAGTAATTATTGAGACGTCTTAACGCGATTGACGATTACTTACTTCTGAATCTCTACTTTCTACATCCGCGTTCGCGTGTTCGAGCAGAAACCTCGCCATAGCTAATCTGTTTTCTAACGCGAGTATATAGAGAGTGCTCCTTCCATCGGCATCCTTCGTGTTAACATCGGCATT